ACAGACAGACAGACAGACAGACAGACAGACAGACAGACAGACAGACAGACAGACAGACAGACAGACAGACAGACAGACAGACGGACAGACCTATATCTATATATATCTATACATATGTTCTGGCTGCAAACACTTGTTTTCATTATTTAGGTTTTATGCTTACAGTTGTTTAGGATTGCTAAATGAATAAGATCCCTCAGGGCAAATATAACCTTCTGGACAGACTTGGGGCTCAGCTGTCTGAAGTTCACAGTATGAGCCGGCTCTGCACAACTTCTCTGAAACTGCACCTAGAAAACAGATCAAAATGTGTGTTTGGACATGTGCTTGGAAGGAAAGGAAAAAAAAATAATCTCTTACAGAAGCTAATTTCAGCTACCACTATAAACTGGGCTAAAGAACGCACCATCGGGACAATAATAGGAGGCCCTGCAGGGTGTTCCTTCAATGTTTGGCTTTCCTGTTACCCGAGGGTCAGGGCAGAAGGTTCCCCCTGCACATGGTTCACACTGGTTGGGTGCAGCGGCTCCAGGAAGCTGCCTCTTGCTGCCTGCTGGGCAGAAGACCGGGGGTCCAGACCCACTGCACCAGAAGCCAGGAGGGCAAGGGCTGCGGGAGTAGTCGATAATCCCTGAAAGATTGTTTTAGAAAAGCCATTTTTTAAACTTTTCAAACAAACAAAAAAATATGCAACATCATCAACTTTCATATTTACCTCCAAATTAAACTATTGCACCTCCAAGCTTGTCAAAATGACAACAATCCATACTTCCTCTTACTTTAAAGAGGGTTTTAAACAAATATAGAAGGACAGCAAAGGAAGAAAAATAATCTGCTGAGCATTATCCTTTAGTGGAAATTAGAAAATAGCTTAAACTTAACCCTTGGGCATTTGTGAGAGATTAGAAAGAAGCTTCTTTTTTGTTTGTCTATTTTAAAAAAGCCACAATTCCATTATTTGTGTGGCCTCAGGTGTTGAATTTTAAATGCAATGCTTTCACTTTCATATTTCCTTTTTCTCTTACATCAAGTTGTCGCTCAGGGACAAATGTAATAGTGTGTATTTATATGAAAACATTACAACCTTGACAGAGAAGTTACTGTGAATTAATATAAAAAAATAAAGATAAATTAAACCAACAACATGTTAAGAGTGTGGTTTTTTTTACAATTGCTCACTGTAAATAGAAGGAAATTGATATAAGTGAGTTGAAATAATGGATGGATGGATGGATGGATGGATGGATGGATGGATGGAGTTGAAATAATGTAAAACAGGTTTTGAATAAAAAAGAGGCTTTCTGTTAAATTTGTCCATTTAAGATTCCATTAAAAAGTTTGTATGACTGTGTATTGGTTGAACCTGTGCTGTTACAGTGTGAACCAGGCGGGCAGGACAGGCAGTCACCCTTGCTGCCTGCTCCTGGGGAAGCTCGGTAGGTGTACAGAGGACACGGCCTGGGTCCCGTCCCTCCGTCAAAATCACTGCCAGGAAGGCCATCACAGTACTGACCAGCAGGACACAGATGAACAACTGGGTCTCCTGTAAAAAATAAAGGTTCAAAAAATAGTTCAGTTGTTTTGAAAACTTGTTTACACTTTTACTAATCTAAAAGTGGCATTTCTTTTTTAAAAATTTTAAAGGTCTAGATTATTAAAACAGAAAAAGTTCATTACACCTCAGAACCACAGTCCATCAACTGATACTCAGTTTATTGTGACCAGGACATACCAGGTTTGCACCAGTACTGAGGTGGACAGGTCAAGCAGTCTTGTAGGCTCATACCACCTGGTGAGCTTCTAACTGTATTTGCAGGACACATTAGAGCCTCTAATGTGCCTTCAGGACAGTAAAAACCTAGAAAAAATAATTTATTTCATTTTTAACATTTCAACATCAAACAGCTTTGCTATGTAGAAGGAAAGGAAATGTCATCCCACAAGTAAAAAAAATAATAATATATGTATATAATCTGAATATTCATATTTGGTATTTGTATTGATGTTTAACAAAGGTAATGTTTTGTACCTGGTGGGCATGGTCCAGCACACTGCTGACCCCACTGGCAGAAAGTCAAGTTAGAAACTTGTTCCAAAGGGGTGAAATCTGCACTCCCAGAAACACAAAGATACCCTGCAGCACAAACTCCTTGGATTTTACCAGCCCTATGGAAAACACACTCAAAGTTAAATAATTTGCATTCTACATATGCCAAACAACATTATTAGACACTTAAATATAAAGACAGGATGATGATCAGGTACTTTTTTACCTCCCCTAGTCTTTAATAATTATACTCACGCTTGTAAATGTGTCTGGTCAGTGAACCATAATGACTGAACTTAGCTGAGAGTCAGAGACAAGTACTTGCCTTTGAGTAAAAGGTGCAAGTGTCTTTCTGTGTAACAATGAAGGAGTGGATATGTGTGAGAGGAAGACACTGAACGCTTCAGCATGCATCCAGCAGGGCCATGAGAAGTACCTGCAGAACTTGCCCGGAGGGCAGGACAAACACTCTCTCTCATCCTGTAATCCCCACTGAGTTGAATGGGTGTATGTCCCATCAGGGCAGGGCTGAGGCACCATTGTGCCTATAGAGGTGGGGAAAAATGTAAACACCATTTAGGTATTCCTACACACTCATACATTRTTATTTTCATTTGCGTAAACATTCACTCGTGTCTGAAATTAGATAATTTGTGAGTTGTAAATRAACATTTCAGTGCCTGATGTTCAAGCTTTTTCTAATATCATACCTGCGGGGCAGAAGGAATGTGGTGGACAAGGCAGTGGGTCTCCCACTACAGCCTCCTCACAGAAGAATCCAGGTCGACAGGGTATGCAGCTCTCCAAACCCATGTTTGGCTGGTACTCTCCTGTAGGACAAGGCAAGGGCAGAGCAGATCCCTCCGGACAAAAATGCCCCTATGCTCGGACGAAAATAATAAAGGCACAAATTAAGGGTGGCGTCCTATTTGGTAGCACATTAATAATAAAACAATGGAGAACACTTTTCACTAAGTGACACAAAAACGTTGGAAATGTATATAAATAAACATACTTTGGGACAAAGGAAGGCAAATGGAGTGGTTGAAGAGAAGTCAAAGGGGCAGTAGAAACCAGCAGCACATGGACCACTGGGGCTAGCGAGGCCTTCAATGGAGCAGTAATGACCGGAAGGACAGGTGACACAACTCTCCATGGACACACCTCCTGCAAAGACAGCAAACAATACAAACAGTAAGAATACATATAAGCAGACAAATTTAAATCTATCCACAAACTAAAGACATGATGTGAGTGCTGAATAACTCCATTTGTCACGCAATGATGTAGCAGCAACAGAAGAGAATGAGAGGACTGAATAATCAAGCAGTACCAGTAGTGTTGCGAATGCTCCCAGCAGGGCAWGGAATTGGGGAGAGACACCCTGTTGGACAAAAGTGGCCAACAGGACAAGGACCATTTTTGGGGAAGATGTCAGAGCTCCCAGGTGTTGGCTCTGCAGCACCACCTTGGCAGAAGTAACCCTGTAAACAGGGACCTGCGCAAAATGCAAAGAGATTAGGAGTTTGATTGTCTCTTACCAGGATGTTATGAGTGTGTGCATGTCTGGTAAGAGGCTAAAATAAAATCAATAACCTCTTAGTTCCTGTTTACCTTGTGGTGCGGAGGCTCCATAGGAGCTACAGTACACTCCAGAGGGACACGGTGTGCAGACAGAGTCAGAATGAGAACCTGTCTGGTTATTGAAGGTTCCTAAAGGGCAGGCCTGAGGCAGGACTGTCCCAGCAGGACAAAAATAACCTAAGAAAACCACAATTATGTATTGTGAGAGGAGAAATAATAATATTAAAAAAATGATGGCTGAAAAATATTGCTTCCACACCCAAAGGATTAAACCACTGCACTAGTTATGTTGACTCCAAGTTATTTTCACCATCCTCACCAGCTGGGCAGGTAGCAGGCTCCCGAGTAGTTGAAGAGGGACACATGGTTCCTTTCAGGCACGCCATGCAGTGGGCTGCTCCGGGGACAGGACTGTAAGTGCCAGGTTCACAGGGCACCTCACTCGCTGAGCCAACAGGACAGCTATAGCCAGCAGGGCAGAGGTAGCCATGGGAACCATCAGACGGAGTGGGGCTGGAGCTTCCACCCAAGCACACATACCTGTAGGCGTAAACAAAGAAAACAAACTTCCTATCAAATAAAATATGACCAGAAGCATCCATTAGTGAAGCTGAACAATCTGTCAGGGCGGATATGTCAGTCCAGTGTAACGCTCTGAGATAGGTGCCAGCTCAGGCCAATACATTTCAAATGACGGTCATTCCAGCTACTGATTTTGTAATGATAGACAATTTTCTCTGGCTAACCTCTGGAGATGTGGTCCCTCAAAGTCTGACTTTAATAAAACAGGAAACCGTCTTCTTTCATGACTAAAACTGTCTGTGCTTCAGCAACTCCTTTGATTATTCTCACATTTTATAATGAAAATTTGTAATATTTTGAAAGTGGAAGAGTTAGGAAAAAATAATATCTTACCTTCTGTAGTCTTTTAATGAAGTCATTTAAAGAAATAAAGTTTAACTCTGACTGGGCTTGCTTTGCACGGACCAACATGAATTGCTGTCATTTTAAAAGAACGCTAATGGCCAACATTTAAGAGAGGTTTATGTCAATGCAATTATCACTTACAGTATAAGCATAAATAGAAGGCACAGCAGCTAGAAGGAACAACTTTGTATTTATTACTTATTGTAATTATTTCTATCAATAATCTTTTTGTCTCTTTTCCTGAAGAAGGTGCACCTGGACCAATCCTGGACCAGTTCTTCTGTGTTTACCTGTGCCTCTTTCCTGTCCCCCAACCAGCCTGTCGAGGCAGATGGCCACCTGCCCTGAGCCTGGTTCTGCTGGAGGTTTCTTCCTGATTAGCAGGGAGTTTTTCCTCTCCAGATTGCTCAGGATGGGAGACTGTGATGAAGTGATTCAACACAATCTGCTGGTTTCTTCTTTAGATTGTTCTTTTTCTCATGTACAGTGCCCTGAGACAACGTATGTTGTGACTTGGCGCTATATAAATAAACTGAATTGAGTTGAACTTTGGTGCAGCCAAGGGTAATTTCAGCAAGGTTTTCACAATATTTCAGCTTGAATAACTGTGTGATGTAAAATTGATGTTGATGTAAAAGTTTAAAAAGTAATGTTTGCATGAACTGGACATTTCACAGCAATAAAGACAAGAACAAACAGACTAAAAAACAGTTTCTACCCATGAGCTGTTGTTACCTTGAACACTGCAATCACTGCAAACTCATCCAAACTATGATCACTCAGCATTTTTTCTGAACAATTTTGTTTGGTGCAATATAAACACATGTCAACTGCACTATTCCTAATATTCTGAACATATCAACACCATTGTTATTTTTTTCTATTTACTTTTTTACTGTTTTTAATACAATGTATATAATTATTATTGTGTTTACTTAATTCTTCTGTTTTTGCACTGCCTTCGAGAGCTACTGGTCTGTAAATATTGTACAGTGACAGTAAATGAATTCTTCTAATTCTAATTCTAATTCTATACTGGACTTGTTTTAAAATAGACACAATCCATTTTGGTCTCAGTCCCATTCAGATGAGTCAACACCTCATTAATCTTCACAAAACCTCACTACAAAAAAAATCTAAATTATCCATTTAATTTGGGATTACTTTATTGTGAAACAGCTTCTTGAACTTAATTAATTGATTTGAGTAGTTTTGAAAATGACATTTTTAAATTCTTTTTACAAATATAAATATGTTTGAGA